TGTCATTACTCCAACATGCAGCCTGCCATTGCCATCATTTTTTCTTACTCTGGTTTATTTTTTTATAACTCTATCATCTGAACTGTACCTTATTTTTTACGTTTCATTCTACAACAATGTGATGTGAATAAAGAACATTATATCTTAAGTGACATGGCATACATATTTATAAGATTTGTCACAATCATTGAGGAAAAAAAACACTGGACTGTACATTTATTTCCAATAGTGCAAATTAAATACCAGCCTTAAAACAGCAGATCTAACAATTTCTCTAGCAACTAGCTGTCTCAGAATGACTTTTATTTACAACTTATTTTAATCAGCATATTTTGAAAAGGAACTTTTGCCAACACTTCTATTAACATAATGAGAAATAAAGACCCACATGATGTACGTGTCAAGTGCAGAAGGGACAAAGGTATCCTTTTCCACCACAGTTTCTGGCATGCATTTGAGCCTGTATCCTGGAGACATTATTCATACAAGTACTACTGGTACTGGATCCAGAGCTGTTCATATATGGTTTATATCCTGCGTTAGAGGGAAATAACCTTTGTTTTCTTTCCGAGAAATACGATTTCTCTGGGTCAAAAAAGTTATTAACCTATCAAGAAAAAATGTTGGTATGCTGAGAAAATGAAAATCTTTCAGAAAGAATTACAAATACTACACGAGGTAATCAATCTCACTTTCGCAACATCTGAAGTCCGTTCATATGTCATAGATTGAGGACACACGAGCCAACATCAAGTAAGCACATGGGGATATTTTAGTAGCCCCCTCTGCAAATGAGTTGGACTCAGGGATGGATTATGTTTGCAGATACAGGATGTTGTCATACATTCTCCAGTAGAATTGAATGTTATCATTTTGTCCTTTTGTCCTGAATTCTTGTGCATACCTCTTTGATGAATACATACTCATGTGTGCGATAAGCGCTTGTTGAAATTACTGCATGGTTGTAAAAAAAAACAAAAAACATCAACAACAGGAAATGTTGCTAATTAACATTATGTTTAGCTTTTGGCTAAAGTTTGATTTGAGGCTACTACAGCATTATTAAACTTTTTATTAGTTATATGTGACATTTCCGGGAAATATGTGGTTAATTAAGTGCAGACTGCAGCAGCAGTGAGTATGTTTTTAATCAGAATCAGAATCAGAAATACGTTATGAATCCCAGGGGGGAAATTCAGTAGACAAAGACATGAACGAAGTGCTTTTGTTGCCTTGAGTTGACTCACATAGATGGCAGAGGTTACAACATAATAATTGAGACATTGTTTACTCATTATTATATAAACATATCTAGGCTAGTTATCAGATCTCGTAGTGAAAACTTAAAAGAGCTTTAAAGAGGAGAAAGTCTAGAAGTCATTGGATGTGTTTCAGTCCATCTCAACAGAATTCATTTGATATTCTGTTACTTGAATCATTGACACGAGTGAAAATCCTTTTGAAATGATACACTAACATTCAGACCTTTATTCAAACAACGAACCAGTGTACTTGCACAGTTTAATTATGTTGACTTGATACAGAACCACTGCGATGATTATTTTCATTGTAATATAACAGTTAAACATTCAATACAGAATCCTGGGCATGAATGGGCTGCTCTTAGGGGGGCTGCACACTGGGAATGTGGAATTGTGGAACATGACCTCCTCCAGATGTTCAACAGGGATTTGTTTCAGTTCAGAGACAAGAGCATCAGTGAGGTCCATTACTGTTGTTGAGTGATGGGGTAAAAGGCTGAACAAAAACAATGCCCCTAAGTATAATGGTATACATAAGGCTGAAATTGAATCTCCACAGATCACACATTTTAAAGTTTCCATGTTTCACTTTTAATTGTGTTCTCTTTAAAAGCTGCATGTTAGGTTTTTTAGTTTGTTGTCACACAGTGAAGATGCTATTCTGCACTTTTGCCTGGCAGAAAAAATTGAGAACCACTGTCTTAACATTTGGCTCATGTTTCTTGATTCTCTGTCCCATGTGTTTCATTTTAGTGGAGATAATAAAGACAGCATTGTTGCAGACATGCTCTCAGACGTTTTTTATAGTCGGCTTCAACTTCACACTGACTGACTGGTTTCTTTTACGAGGCCAAACCTCAATAGAATCAAATTGGATAAGGGGATTACCATACGTATGATGTTGGTGTCATTTTATGTCTTTACTGTTGTTAATAGTGACAGCATTGAATTCACAAGACAAATGGCACAGACACTTTGTCATCTGGCAGAGATTCATGTTTGTGTACTTTTATTCTTTGGGGATGTGTTGGTAGTAATAAAGGCTTTCAAATAATACAAGCAATTTGTTAACTTTTATTTCTTCCATAGCTGTAATCCACTCTTAACCTCTTCCCTTCTTCTTTTCATTCCCTGAATATTTAAGTGACAACCTTTTCAGGGACAGGTATTGGAAAATAGCTTTAGCTACAAATGCTGTGGTGCAGTGCATTGGAAAATTGTTGTTCACTGCACAATCTTTTTATAACTCTAAGAGCCTAAAGGAATAGTTCATGTTTTGTAAATGAATAATAATAAAAAGTTCACATTTCCCAAAAGAGTAATTCAATAGAAAAAACAACGCCTTCCTCTGGCAATGGTATAACATGTTACTCAGATAGCTATCTCATGATGACAAAGCAAATTTAAACAAGCTGGGTAACAACTTGTCACCTGGCGTTGTGTAACCCTTAAGGATTAACATTCTAGTTTCTCAGCCTGTTCAAATATGCTTTGTCATGATGTGATAGTATTGGAATAAAGGCTTGGCTGCCAATTTATTTGCCAGAGAACTTATTTGCTTTTTTGTCTCATTTCCTCTAAGATTTTTGGATTCCGCGCCAAAGACCAACTTTGCTACACTGTCTGTAATCAGACACTGGAATGCACAGAAGTAGAGATGAACAGAACACGAAAGAGTGAAGCAAAAAGTCTTGGTCTTTACTTGACAAAAATGAGGTCGTACACTTGATGGCAGTCCAACAAAGCAAACAAGTCAAATTAGAGCAAAGGCAAAAAGAAAAAAAAAGAAAAAAAAGAAAAATCAAAAGTTAACAAACACAATCTGGCAACTGAGGTGGGAAAGCAAAGGAGGGAGCTGACTGGCTTATGAGATAATTAGGAGCAGGTGAGGACAGGTCCTGGTAATCAAGGGACTGGTGAGCACATGGAGGCAGGAAGTGAAATGACAGGAGATCTTGGATTTCAAAATAAAACAAATACAACAGGAAAAGTACTTCACAAAATGAACTCATTGTTACACTTTTTCTATAGTTACACACAAGTCACACACGACTTGGACTCGAGTCAGACTCGCCAGGACCCCCCAAAAATGAAATCTATCATTTTCAGTGAACCTTCAAAACATCTTACAACCACATTTAGAAACAATTTAATACACAAGTAAGTATAAAGCTGCTTAGAAGAATGTTTTTGGGGTTTGTAGGGGCTGCAACGCTACACAGTGGGGTTTAGGTAATAGAGAACATTTAATCTAAGAGTGCTTATAATGCCACAACAGGAAGTATTTAATGTCATTATTTCCTTTCTTATCAGACAGATCTAACATTTCAAAATGGACGCGGCACAAGCAGCTGCACTCGTTTATTTCTTACTTTACAGCCGTGCTGCAGATTTACACATTACCATCTAACAAATCAAGACAATGAGAGGCCCTGATGGAGCCAGATGTTGTTGGCACATTTAGAAGTTGCATTTTTCTCCCACACATGTACACTGTGCTGTACAATAATTATGAGCTGAGTGTTTGGAAATGCTCATGTTACACAGGGGCATTTATCATGAGGGCTACCAAATGTGGCAGGAAACAGATCCAGAGGCTATTCAGGGCTGGAAGCCAGATGGAGGAAAAAACCTGTAGTGTTACAGTGCAGTCTGAAGCACTTCCTGCACAAATTAAAAATAAATCAGTGTGTCTGACTTTCTCTCTTACCCGTTTTTTTTTGTGTGTGGATCTTGTTCCCTCATGAATTAAATAGCAATTCAATGTTTCCTTTTTTTTCTGTTTCTGCTGCTAGGTGGCTATCGATAGCACCTCTTTTTTTCTCAGCTTTCTCAACATAATCCATCCAACCTCCCCCTACTCTCTCTCTCTCTCTCTCTCTCTCTCTTTTTCTCTCGACCCCTTTCTTTAGACATTTCCTTTGACTCTGGGGCCTCAGTGTCATCTCCTGCACACAGAAATCTCCATTCATCATTGTGTGAATAGAGGAACTATACATTCCACATACACTTAACTTCGACCGATCACACTCACAAACACACAATATTACATAAAGGAATCCGACATCATCTCAACACATGCAGCTCTATGGGGTCTCAGACAAAATACAACATTGTCACGCTTGGATTTGTCACGCTTTCTCTTCTTTTCTCTCATACTTTTTATGAATGAATACTCTTGGAAATCCTGCTGATCTGTTTGCTGACCAGCAATGGAAGAAGTTGCTAAAGCAACTAAAATGCAAAAGTAACAACAACAGCACCGTAGAGACACCTTTCTACTCTGCCAGGTGTGGTCTGTTGTCATGTCTTGTAAGTATGCTTATTATGTTAGTGACCTGAAAATAACTTTGAACTGCACTAACCTGTTTGAAAGCTGCTACATGAACAACATGGCAGCTGTGTTGGACTGTTTGAATGAATGTACGGTGACAGGCATGTGTTGAATATAGCTGAAAAGAAAACAATCAGCGTTATATATAATGTCAGGTAAGCTCAGTTTTTGATATTAAATTAATGTCTGAGTTGCAAAGTTTTTGTTTCATGGGTATGAATGTTGTGTTTGCTTTATCTAGCCTACAAAAGATAGAAAAACATAAATAGACAAATGATCCCTAGAAATGAGTCCATAAACTAAGCTGTAAACTAAGCTTTTCGATTGTGTATTTGGATTGGGATTTATGTGTTTTTTTGGACAATAAAAAACAATACTACTTCAGCCTACCAGAAAATACAACATGTTCAACTAACAGTACTGATCGCTATCATCTTTTCCCTTACTATTTCACAAAGTTTCATTCATATAGGCCTATTGTTTTACTGGTGCGAAGGTCCTCCATATTTAAGACCATTTATATACCGTCTAGGGTAGGGTATGGCAAGCCGTTCAGGAAATTAATATATTGAATGAAACTCTGAATATATTGAATGAAGTCTGAATATATTGAATGAAACTCTGACTATATTGAATGAAGTCTGAATATATTGAATGAAACTTTGAATATATTGAATGAAACTCTGAATATATTGAATGAAACTCTGAATATATTGAATGAAACTTTGAATATATTGAATGAAACTTTGAATATATTGAATGAAACTTTGAATATATTGAATGAACCTTTGAATATATTGAATGAAACTCTGAATATATTGAATGAACCTTTGAATATATTGAATGAAACTCTGAATATATTGAATGAAGTCTGAATATAGTGAATGAAACTTTGAATATATTGAATGAAACTCTGAATATATTGAACAAAGTCTGAATATAGTGAATGAAACTTTGAATATATTGAATGAAACTTTGAATATATTGAACAAAGTCTGAATATATTGAATGAAACTTTGAATATATTGAATGAAACTCTGAATATATTGAATGAAACTTTGAATATATTGAATGAAGTCTGAATATATTGAATGAAACTCTGAATATATTGAATGAAACTTTGAATATATTGAATGAAGTCTGAATATAGTGAATGAAACTTTGAATATATTGAATGAAACTTTGAATATATTGAACAAAGTCTGAATATATTGAATGAAACTTTGAATATATTGAATGAAGTCTGAATATATTGAATGAAACTTTGAATATATTGAATGAAACTCTGAATATATTGAATGAAACTTTGAATATATTGAATGAAACTTTGAATATATTGAATTAAACTTTGAATATATTGAATGAAACTTTGAATATTATTCAAATTCAATATATTAATTTCCTGAACGGCTTGCCATAAAGGGACTTTTGCAGTAAATATGAAAAAAAAGAAAAACACGATCTCAATAACAAGTGGATCGTCTGGCTAAAATGTGGTGCACAGTGTTATACAGATCTGTGGACTGACGCATGCGCAGCGCAGCCGTGTAGAAGAGGCTTATGGGTACAGGAAGTCCAAAATGGCGATGGACGGAATCATGTCCACGTCTTCGGGTCTATCTTACCACAATGCCGGTGACTTTTACCCCAGAAAGTTCGGCACGAAGCCCGACGTGGTGCCGTCAGGGGTGACCGAGAGGAAAGTGGGTCCGCTGGATAAACCTGACATGGTGTCAGTTGATGTCATTAACATCAATGATTCAGGTTTGTTATGCTAACAGCTAACAGCTAACTACACGTAATCAAACAGGCGGCTAACAGCTGACTCTGAGGTGGAGCTGAGCTTTTTCATCTGATTCAGTTTTTTGGTTGTTTACAGCGACAGTGTTAGTGGTTGTAGTCGTCAGTGTTTTGTTTAGAGGGCTGTCTTTGTGGCCAGTGTATCTCGTTTGTGAGTAGCTAATCCTGTTAGCATTTAGCCTCCTGTCAGGAACATTAAAAACTACAAAACATTCACAATCATTTATCACCAGATTTTATTACTTGAATTCTGTTTGTATGCAGTCCTTTTTTTTTTTTTAATTCAAACTTATAGTGAAGACTTGATGCCTTGATGGGTCATCAGAGAAAATGATTCTGCAGCATTATTTCATTAAAACAATATAAAAGCCCCTCACTCTCTCACCTCTCCATTAATGGTCTGTAGGTCTTGTTGGTGCATGATTTGATTTAGAGGCTGTGTTTGAGAAGCTTGGCTGAGAGGGTAAACCAGAATGTGCCCTGTGGAATTAATAAAGTATGTAAAACTAAAAAAATATCTATAAATTCAATTCAATTTCCACATAAAAGTTGAAGATAATGATGATTCAACATTTTCCGGTGTTGTTTATGGGAAATCTTTTACTTACAAACAGAACTTGAAAACAGACTTACCTGCCAGACTTTAGGATGTGAAAATGTTTTCTTTGAAAAACAGATTGTGCTCGGGTAGGCAAAGTGTTGAGTGAGCCACGTCACAGTGATTTTATTTCTTTTCCTGTTTGACACTCTTTTTAAGTAAATCCTGGCCAGTTCATATGCAGAAACTTATCCACCAACATTGGGTACCCCTGCTGTGCAAATCAGTTTCTTATGTCCACAGCCTTTTCTTTAAAATCTTCTATAGAATGAGAGCTAAAAATGTCTAATAGATAAAATGTCTCCTTTTTTAAGGAGAATTTGGTTAAAACTTGAAGTCAGGGTGTTTTTGTTAGTGTCCTTCCGGTACAGTGTACTGATAATAGAGCTGTTGTCATTTGTAACCTGCATGTCCTTAAAACACATCGTGTCATAGCTGAAGTTTATATGTAAACTCAAAAGTATTATCAAAACTGTTTTTAAAAAATAGACAAAATCGTGTCAATCTTCAGAATTTCCATGATAAATACAGAAAATGAACCAATAAATCTGGACCATTTTATGATCTTTGACAAGTGTGTATTCTAAGCTTGATTAAAAACAGAAGAAACAACAACGTAAGCATAATAAGGTGCACATATAGTGTCAATTCTTGTACCCGAAACTTACATCTAAAACAAAACTAAATCAGCTATATTTCACAAGAAATTTAGCCAGATCGAGAATCAGTTGAATGGTTGATTGGATGAGCTGTCGAGGTCTTCTAAATAAAATCCTAAAGCCTCTAACCTGTCATAATAAAGTTTATCTTTATCTTCATGGGGTATGTTTGTGTTGAGGCTTGTGATGTCCAGAGTCAAAAGGGTATTATCAGACAAATCATTAAGGCTTGTTAAAAAAAAAAGTAAAAACTTAGACAGTGGAGAGCAGAGGGAGTCTGTCTGTGCCACTGTCGGGCGACCTGGAGGGTTGGTGAGACATAGATGTTCTTTTTGAATGTCATTATTCCTGACAGAATGGTTGGACTAATCTCAAGAATAAAACCAGATTTATTTTTGTGTAAAGCAAAAAAAAACAAAAAAAAAAAACACCACCTTTTATCATCTGTACTTACATTGAAATTTAAAGTCGAAATCAGTCAGTCTGTCAGACTTCCAGGAATTTAGTATACTGTCTTTTTTTCCCCACCAGGTTGTGTTTTGTTGTTACTACGGTTTAACAATGGCCTCTGTTTTCTCCCACAGATGTCAACTTGCACAGGAAGAAGCATGAACATGACACATACGTCTTGGTGAGTGTCTCTGGTGTTTTTGTTTTAGTGTTGATCACTGTCTTTCAGTGAAAACCAAAACCTCACCACTCTATCAGTGCACTCCAGTAATGTTGTTCTTTTTATGTTTATTTCTTTGCAATGATTGGTCTACAGAGAGCAAACTCAGACAGGACTTAAACTGGAGAAGGCTTACAGCAGGGTATACTACTGTGTTTTTACAGTGACAGTGATTTATGTAGTTTAAAGCCATGAAGGCTGTCATTATGCAGGCAATGTTTTTTAAGTGTACCCACCCAAACAACACTTGCATTTTGCTGCCCCAGTTAATGATGTGACATATAACATACAGCCAGGCAGCAGCATTACTTTATTAACTATAACAAAAACCTTTTATCTTCTGTTATAAAACCGTTTTTCTAATGCCATGCTTGAAGAGTAGAGACCTACTCATTTTGTCCCCAATTATTGGTAGCTGTAAGTCAGCTGCTGTTATCCTCTAATTGCCAGTAGGTCCAACACGTAACACTTTCTCAACATGACCTTTCTGCTCCCAATTTTCCTTGACATCCCTCAGCTCTGTTACTACCTCGGCTACCTATAAAAGCGTGAAACCCTTTCCCCAGCATCCTTATCTGCATAATGCATATCCTTTTTTTAAATGGAAAATGACTCAATTAAAATGTCGTTCTTTAGATTCACCTGATGTAAAGTCAAACCAGAGTTGAAATAAGAAGGATGTAAATGGTTGATAGCGTTGGAATGCTTTAACTTGAAATCTTTAGGGACATCATAAAAGCGATGAAGTGCTTTTAAAAGTTTGCTTTGATAAGATAACTTTCATGCGACCCCTTTCCCCTCCTCTGTTGTAAAGCATCTTTAAAGAAAAAAAAGTCAAATCTGTCGATATGTTCCAGTGTTGCTTATGTTGTTCCGATGTTATCGTCCTCATGCAAAGTTCTTACAGTACGTACTATCCGTGCTGTATACTGTTAGTACCTACTATTCAGTATGCACACACAGTAGGCAGATATTTGTTCCTACTTCATGTGATTCATTCAGTATGGAAGTGACGTCATTTATGTTTCCCGAACCGGCCGCATTCACCCGTTTTTTTAAGAGTAATGCGCATATACAGTCAGGTAAACAAAAAACAATATCACAATGTAAATCAAGTAAAAAACCAATTAAATAACTAAATAACATACAGTACATAAAGAAAAGTACAAATGAAAGACAGTAATATACAGAATATAAAGTAAACAAATAAAGACGCATTTAAATAGTTAAAACATTATTTAAATAGAGGGGGGAAAGGTTTTATAATAATGCAGATATTTGTTATATTTTCTGTTGTTAATTAAAAGTAGTTATTTCAGTCGAGACTTTAACTCTAGATTAAAAATGTATTCAATTAATCCACGCTCGTTTGTTTTGATTTGGAGGCGGACGTGAAGTGACGATATACCTTTAATTTCGCACAACATTGTGGGTGGTAAAATACAATGAATTTCCTGAAAGCACGCATCCGATCCATACTGCATGAAACCCGGAAGTTAGTATCCATACTGAAATGTTCAGTATACTGAGGTGGACCCAAAAAATGCCTACTGAATGACCACGAAAGTTCAGTATACTGAAACTACCTACTGAAAAGTACGCACTGCATACTAACTGTGGGTATTCGGAAAGGGCCCCGGTTTTGCAGAAAAATCCTCTGAAGGGTCATGTTGTTATTCACTCACCTACCACTGGATGTCAGTGTGGGTCACAATTTGCCTCCAATTCTTCTTCACGGTCACTGTCCTGATGAAACTGACTGTACTCACATTCATCTTAATGTCATTTCTGGAAACTAGACATTACTGAAGCTAGATTTTATTTTGCTGCATACTCTTTTCTGAATCAGAATGTGTAATTTTCTTTCATTACTTAGACGTTAGTTTTGATGTTTTTGATGTCTTTAAATTTGCAGGGAACCATTCATCCATTCAGGAAGACGCACAGATCCATCTTTGGGAAACTTGTGCAGGAATTGAGACTGGTCTCCTCAGATAGACGGGTAAGTGCTTTTAGAAATAACTAAATTAACCAAACCTCATTGTGTTGGTTTCACCGAGTAGATAGAGAGTCCTTGCTTTATAATCCCATTCTTCTTTAGGCTGTATGGATCCTGTTTCTCCTGCACAGCCTAACCCAAACACCTCCAGTAATCCTGTTTGTCTAGCAGGTCACCATGTTCCAGTGAAAGCCTCACAGTTAAACACCATCAGACACAAGCTGAAGGCTTGTTCGCTTTGGCTGACCTGTTATAACGGGGAGTTTTAACCTGCGATCTTACTTTCTGTATAGTTCAGGTTTGTCTGCTCAGGCTGTTAAGAGTTTCTTATGCACTGATAGTATGAGCTTTAATATGTTGTTTCAGCCTTTTTTATCTGATGAACAGATAAGTTAATGAACAGTTGTATCGCTCTACAAAAGTTAACACGTGTTTCTGGTCAGACATCAGCGAGGTTCATCTTGGATTCATGTCAGATAAAATATCTTTAAATAAAAGTCATTGCTTTTGTAACATGATAAAATACCTAAACTGAAAGTTTTGGACCCAGCTTTGAAAGTTTGACCAAACGCTCTTCTTTGTTGTACCTCAGTTAATAACTTAATTGTTCCTCGTGTGTAGTAGGAGTGTAATGAGCCATCAATCGGGATCAAATGAAAATCCAATCCAACTTATGGAAAGTCAAAACATCAATCTACATTCCCATCTTTAAGATACGCCTATTTTTGTTTCAGAGTTTCCTCCTAAACTGCGTGTTATCCTGAACTTTCAAACAATGAACACCTGCATCATTACTGGAAGCATGAGTGAAACTTTTTCTGCAGCTGGACTTCATTTAAACATGGAAAATGTGACTGCAGTTTCTTAACATCCGTATGAACCTTCTTTTACAGTTTCTGTTCACTAAAGAATACAGTGACACTAGATGTAGTTTTGACCAGTGGAATTTACTACTATGCTAATCTGCTACACTAGTAGTATCTTTTTTAAATGATTTGAGGCAGTATGATTCATGCTTGATTGCATAGAATGCAAGTCTGTATTTTAATTTGTTCTTTTCTTGATGTTTCGGCAACGGGGACTCTTGATTTTATTTCAAGTCCGGCCAAGATCAGTGCCGACAAGTGTCTGAACTGTACGTGCATCGTCTTATCCATAACCATTACTGTCACCAACCAGTGTTTTTTTTATTCTTATTATAATTATTTTTTAAGTTATAATGACTTTGAATAATAATGTTGGAGATCGTTGTCATTTATTTGAACAGGGATGAGCTTAACTTACATTGAGAGTCAACAGATGTTCATTAAAGATGTTTGTTAATTTCAGATGTTGACATTTTTTGCCTGCTTATAGACAACAAAGGAAAGTCTCTCTTTAAAAATGACTTGTACAAAGTATTTTTATTATTCAACCCAACATTCCTCATGGCTCACTTATTCAACCACACATAGAGACTATAGGCTTATAAGACTATACATGCATGAAAAAGGTAAATGTAAAGGAATCTTTCGTGGGTTTTTTTTTTTAAATCTTTTTTTTGTCCTAGCTTGGTGTTAATCCCTCTCAGCCTTGGTTTGTCTTAGTCTGGATACACTTTAGTTTTTTTTAGAGTTTAGAGTTAGTCTTTTGTGGGTCTTTCTTGACAACAAGACCACTCTTATCATGAACGAAATGGAGTAATCCAGATGTGTCTTTATTCTGTGTTATCTCGAGATGAATCTTTGGTTTCTTGCCTCCTCGGTCATGCTGGGTCAGGCCTAAGTAATATTCAGTTACATGTAAATAACACAGCTTTGTAACAACAGTCCATTTGTAAAGGTGAGCATGTTAACCTTGCTTGTTTAGCAATTAGTGGGTGGTCTGTTGGGGTCCCTCCCACCTTTAATGCAGTACCGCTGGATCAAATGCGTGCAGAGGAACTTCTATAGCTGCAGGCTATGATCCGCCTGATAAATATAAATTAAATATTACACCTCAGAAAAACCACTGTGCATGCGTGTGTGTGCGCGTCAGCGTTATTATACCATAATCCACTTTGACCTAACGCTGGCAGGGGGTCTTGCCTTGCCAAAGAGCCTTGGATTGGATTACACGGTGTTGTACAAGGCTTAGGGGCCAAACATAGTTCAAACGGGCGAAAGTTGAGATGTTCTTCCTCAGCACGCCGTCGCTCTTGTCTCCTTTGTGTCTGGAATAAGTCCTAGTCGATTCCAGGTACTGAGTGACTGAAGGAGGATTTTGTGCTGAAATCTTTTGAATAGAAACCGTATTTGATTCATCAGATGATGTGTCTTTAAGACCTTTTGATAAGAAACTGTGTGTGATGTTATCCACATGAATCATTCTTCATAACCTTCCCAACATATGACAGACAGTTCCTTCTACATCTATATATTCTATATAGTAGATCCTGAAGTGTGGTTTAATTCATAAATAGACTTTGGATCCATGAACCCAGAATCGTTTTGAATCGAAAATCGCTTCTGAATCGAATTGTGACCCCAAGAATCAAAATCGAATCATTAGACACCCAAAGATGTGTGAACATATCATTTTAAGAATATCATATCAGTATGTTGCCTACAATATTTTCTGCATGAACTATCTTTTATTTAAGTTCCAGCCGTGTTTTCTACTAGTTAGGTCTTAGCAGGACTCTTAGGTCTGCAGTTTGGGTGCCAGGTACCCAAACAGGTATTGTGCGTTATGTTAGGTAAAGTTCTTCTCTTGTGAATGAGTTCCACTGATTTCTAATAATCAGACTGTTGTGTAGAAGAGAAAGTCTTGCTAAAAGAGACAAATGTTGTAGGGTGTTCCAAATGACTGAAACAGGAAAACTATTAGACTAATAAACCTGTTGATAAAATCTCTGTTTTCTCTGCAGATAAAACCTCAATGCTCCTATTTCCCCAAAACATGTCCATGAAAATGAAAGACATTAGGGTATTAATTATAACTCTGTTTAAAGTCCCTCTCTAGTCGGAGATTTTGACTTGCCTGAGGTTTTTTTTTGAGAATGAGGACGTGTTTGAAAGTTTCATGCCACCCGTACCATGGCAGCTTGACTGCTACTGGCCACAGAAGTCACTCTACCGCATAGACTGTTTACACAAGCTGCATAATGTGAATGCAAATGGCCCAGTTTTTCACCCCAACCTTATCTGGACTTTTGCCTTGAGTAGAATTCCCGCTATAAGTTGGGGTGAGCCGATGTGTGAACAGCAGCATACCACCTCATTTATAGAATAATGCTGAGTAAACAACTACATATAGAGCTAGAAACTTCCTTGAAGAATGTCTGCCTAGAAGTCTTCTTTAGTCATTCAGACTCTTAATCAAAAATGAGACACCATATCTGTTGTGCAGTGCATGTTTATATTACTTTAGTTCATCAGACACTCTTGCAGTAACATAATGTTCAGATGAAAGTGGAGACATCAGGCCGTCAGCAGAGGAAAGACATGACTGCAGGACAGGAAACCGAGAGGCGTCATCTTGTTGCAGCGAGATGACGGAGTTAGAAAACTCTTCTGTCCCCCGTTAACAGGCAGATGCCGCCGTCACCACCACCACAGCCCAGATTCATTATGTAAGTAGATGTTTATTTTGAGAGGGGAACACAGCTGCCCTGGAGACACATAGTTCTGGCAGCTATGATCCAAGCAGACAAAGAATGGGAGAGGACGTTTTTTTTTTTTGTGTGTGTTCTCTCTGCTGCTGGAAGTACATCCTGGCAGGAGGCAGCGGCGGCATGCTGCAGGTTTTAATTTTTTGCAGTCTAAAACTCCCACAAATCTCCCGGCACACACTCCCGCCCTGTCAGGATGACAATGACCTCCCCTTCCTGCTCCGCCTCTCTTCTTCAGAGGCTAAAACGAGTCATGTATTTACTCACCACCATGACACACATTTGCGTGACGCTGCCCGATGATGCCACAGCGTACCACGGCGCTCAGCGATGATGTAATCTGTCCTGGCATCAGCAGGGGCTCCTTATTTATTACAGTACCTGGTGACTGAGCCTCTGTACGGGCACTGCAGCTCTGTCACTTTGATGTCACATGTAACCTCAATATGTTGGCTCACAGTGACGCCGCCGGACAGCCGGACGTGGCCGCTGACGGACAGACGGGGGCAGCAGAGCGTCAAGGATTTAACAACGTGCATTCTCCTCCGGGCGCTCTGTGTACGTGAAGGGGGGTGGGGAATGTTTTGGGCAGAGCGCCGTCTCTCTGTTTGCACACACAAGACGCGTGCACGCTTGTAAGCACGCACACACATCCACACGTGTGTGTGCACAAACACACACACACACACGCACACACTTTGGGTCTCCCATGCCTGTCGTTGGCTAGTGCTGTCACCAGACGCCCCAGTGCTGTCATAACACAGCACACCACAGTAATTGTAGATTTCACAGCACTCTGCGCTCCCCACCATGGCATATGACTCCAACACGAAGTGACAGGGCCGGACACGCGCACGCACGCACGCACGCTGGCACGCACGCACGCACACACACGTGTTCATGTTCCCTTGTTCCTTTCCTTGCCTCTGCGCCATCTGACACACACAGACTCACTCTGTCTTTCTGCTTTGAGGGCAGGTTTAAACTCATGGTCGTATTTTTTTTCTTCATTGAAGATTCTGCTATATGTACATCGTGGCTGATGGAGTAAGAGCAGTGTTGAAACGTATAGAGCAAATTTCTTAAACACTATGAACAGCATTGGTTTATGTCACGTCTGCTCTTGTTTTCATGACATTTCTTGACCATCTGCTTATCTCAGAAGCAAAGTAAGGAGGATTGTAAACCTCAGAGGAAGCCTCTCATGGGGATCTCAAAACCAACGACAGCAGTTTACGACATTTACTGTCTTTAATACCTTCAGTGTATGTTTGTTTTAATCATGAGCACACACTTATTGACACCAAACAGTTTAAGTTGCCTTAAGATGAGCAAAGTTTAAAAACAGAGCAACATTACAATAACATCCAAAAAAACTCCCTAGATAGCAACTTTTTTTTGCTATTAGTCAAACAACTGACAAAACAACAAATGCATACTGTACATGTGCAACACAAATGATACATCAGTGACACAGCCCATTGATGCAGCCAATAGGGAGCCTGTTCAATTTGGTCTCTCTCAACTGTACTGTAGTAGGAATATTCAAAAGTATCTGAAAGGCTTGGCACACAGTGGGTTAACTCGATGAGCCAACACAAACAGTATAGACTATAACACATGAGTAACTGATTACGATGAAGCCTCTTGTGTAGATTGTGACTGCTGTTCATTCTCTAGAGTCCATTTAGACATCAATTAAAGCTAAATTCTTATCCGATGATAGCCAATGAGTTCTTGGAGAGCATAACTTATGCATTCTTCTTCCTCTGCTCTCCACATGGACTGTTTTTCTGTAGACAGCCAAATGTTTTTGGTCAAATAAATAATTGGACTAAAGTCAAACGATGCACCAGACCACAACAATGTTGTCCTGCTGTATGTTGACTGTCACTCTGCATGCTCCGCATGTGTTGCATTAAATCAGTGAATAATTAAGGTGGAAGCAACCTGTTGTACTGATTTAACAGCTTTATGAGTAATTAGGCAAGGCACAGCCAAATCAAGGTATATTTGATAGTACAGTTTTAGTTTTGTTCGTACAATGTTTTTCCATGACCTACATTTTTGGTAAATCTTTAACATAATAAATGTATGCAGTGAGTTCATTTCCAGAACATCCAGAAAATCATGAATCTGATTTAACCCTGTATGTTAGTGTTCTTTTTTCAGCTTAATATTTCATATTTTGGCTACTTTACATCTCCTTCTTGGTTAATGGATTTGTAGATTTAAGTTAATAATTTGATAGGAATGTGCAGGGTCTGGAGTGGCAGTAGCTCAGTCCGTAGGGACTTGTGTTGGGAACCGGAGGGTCCCTGGTTCAGGTCCCGATTCGGACCATGATATGGCATTTGGTCTGGTAGCTGGAGAGGTGCAAGGTCGCCTCCTGAGCACTGCCTAGGCGCCCCTGTGCGCTCCCTGCATAGCAGTGTGCAGCAGTCCCACTCTGACATCTCTCCACTAATGCATGTCCACAGGTCCTGTTTGTGCATGTGTGTGATTCGGGTCTATGTGTGTGAGAAGCATGTCTCTCAATAAAAGTGAGAGTGTAAAACCAAGATTTCCTTCAGGGATGAATAAAGTATATACAATTATTAAATTAGAACTGCTTTTTCTCAGTACAAAGTCTGTTTTCTATTCCTGCATTCTCTGAATGCAACTTTCCCCCCTGAGCTCTAGGAACTACACTGTGCCAGACCCCCCCGGCCTGTTCGATGGCCACGTCTGTTCCATGTATTTGAAACACAAGAAAATCACTTTCCCCCCTGAGCTGGTGTTTCTGGGATTCAGAGCGTGTGAACGAGTTTGGCAGCACGGCCAGACCCCACTTACTTTGAGAATTCACCCAAATACTAAACACAGCAGGTCAACCCCAGGGCAAGAAACTCACTGTACATCAGCAGCACTGAGTGGGTTTGTAGGTTTAGATTGAGATAAGAGGACAGCTGGTCACCTGCCAGAGAGTCGGCTACAGAACCTGACTGACAGCCGGGGAAACCCTGTTCACAGAACTCAGCCTGTGAACACAGTTACACAAAACCTCTTTGGCTCTGAAGGAGCTTTGTGTCATCACAGTTTTATATGAGGAGTACAGCCTAAGGTTTTTTGTTTTTTTCAAACACCTTTTTCTACTTTAACCAATCACATGCCTATTTGTGGAAAGTGTCGGGTGCATTATTTGAAGTTTAGCAGACTTTGTTTTTACTTTAGTAAATGATTTAGTAACACATTTTTGACATTTCTTGACTGATACTTAACTTTTAATGACCATCAGTGATGTTTTCAGCTGTCAGGATTTTTTTTATCCAAAAAATAGAACAATTACATAAAGTGTTTCTCCCATCACTCTGTGTGTTTAATGAATGACCCTGATGGTGACCAGAGCCAGAGGTTGAGCCACTCTGCTTCTTAGATTCTTGTTCTTTAACAGTTATTTTGTTTGTTTGTTGTCGTTTTCAGTCGTGGAGGATCCTGCTGTTTGGGGCTCTCAACCTGCTGTGCACCGGCTGTCTGCTGATGTGGTGCAGCTCTACCAACAGCATGGGTGAGCACACACACAAAACACCGTCAAAAAAACACACATAACACAAACACAAGGGACAGAGGAGATGCAGAAAGACACATGCAAACTTACACACAAAGATGTACACAAACTGACAGAGAAACACACAAAGAAAAAAAACACTTTGAGATGTGGACGAGACACTAACAGGCAGAGATACCTGTCTACACACAGTAAACTCTGATTGACAGCTACACACTCGCACAAATGCACACAGGAGCGTGTGTGTGTGTGTGTGTGTGTGTGTGTGGTGCTGCAACTACATTCACACACAATAAACAAGTCTTTAAATGTGTGTTAGCAGGGTCATCTCTCCGGAGGGGTGTAGACTGATCCTGCTACTAACGCTGCAGATGTGTTTTGTTTGTGTCTGTGTGTATACAGCATGTGTGTACACGATGGGGGGGGGGTCACCTCAGTTAAAATATGGCACTTTAAAGGGCATGTTGTAGAAACAGAATCTTGCACAGCTTCTGTTTTCACCCTCTGGTGCTACAAACACAGAGAACACATCGTCACGGTGACGTGTGTTGTTTTTTTCCACCGTCATGCAAATAAGATTTTAAACAATTTGTTTAAAACACAATTATGATTCACAAAAAAATCGTATTTTTGTAGTTTTTTTCACATCTTATGACGTTGAACTCAACATCAATAGGAATCAACTATTTAAAGTCAGGCGGCTTAGGACCAGATTTGGGAAGAATGGGGACACGCCAGACAAAAGCACCACATATCTTTCACATACTCTCCATCACCATAACTTTTCATCAAGATGGCGGTTCCAAGATGTTGACCATGTAAAATCTATAAGTGCCTATATATTTTCCAAGTCACTTCTTGGAGGATATTTGCCTTAAATCAATGATACATGTAGTAGTAAATTACATGCACAGAGGATTGGAAGTAGGGGAAATGGAGGATCTTTGTTCCCCTGCCTACGCTACACACAGGTTGCTAGGCTGCAGGTTGGATAGTTTTAAAATCACTCAACAAGTTGGTGCACACAGTTGTCCTGTAGAATCAGGAATTTTGACTGACATTTTAAAATGTAATTGAGAATACAGTTTAATGAAATAAAAAAATAGACTTATTGGATTAAGATAACACTTTGATATAGATCTTTCCAAAACGATTAAAATGAAATCAGGTTTTAACTTTACAGAATTCGTTCTGTTGACTTTTTCCATGTGCACTAACATGCTTACGCAATAGATTATTGTTAAAGTGCACTGTATTGATTAGGGCCCGACTGATGTGGGATTTTGGGGCCTATTCCGATATCAGTGTTGGGGAGAAAAAAAAAGAAAACTGATACTGATATATCGATGGATATCTTTCTTAGATATATGTTCAATCTGTAGAGCGAGATATAGATATAGATATATACACATTTATTGTGTTGATCCCTCAAATGCAGTTATCAAACACTTGTAGAAAAGATATAAAGTATAATAAAGACAAGATGGTCACTCAACTTTAAAGTAACTGTGCATGTACGTGCATCACTGCTCGACACTCTGGAGGTTGATTCATTTCATTTATTATACAGGAAAGTTTAAAAGTAACATTAAGTTACAGTTTAACGGGCCTGACTCAGTTTAAAAAAACTGGTTTCCAGCAGGTTCCTGTTCTGCAGAACATGAAACATAAACCACAGTCATGACACATCAAGACAAACACATTTACAGGACATTAGCATGGGCTAGGCAGATACAGACAAATAGAAACAAACAATACAGATACTGCGAACAATACATGAACAATTAATGAGTGCAGGTGTAAGTGTGGAGAAGGTGTCGTTTGTATGTATTTTTGAAATATGAGGTAGATGGTAAAGTTCTAATGTGATGGGGAATGTCTTCCAAATTTTGGTGTATGTATAAAAGAAGGACTTCCGACCATAGTTGTTTTTGTATGCAGGGATTGGGATGAGTGCCTGTGAGACTGACTTAGTGAGGCACACTTGTCTCATATTATGTGTCGGTAGAAGTGCAGCGAGTGTTGGTGAAGTGCTGCTTTTAATCTGAAAATAGTATGTAATAACGTGGCTGTGTATGTCATTCAGGAAAGTCAAGGCGTTGGAGCTTGTGAGTGCAGAGCAATGGTGTGACCACTTTGGGAGGTTACTATGGATCTTAAGAGCTCGATAGTACAGCCGTGCTATTGGTTCAGTAATCTCCTTAGTGGTAAGTGACCAGATTGGAAGACAATTGATGATGCTTGTTGTAACCATAGCACATCATGCAGGTAAAAAGAGAACTGCTAGTGTAATACAATAAAACTCAATTTAAATGGTGAATAAATCTAGTCCTATCAGCACATATCTACGATGAAATTGGCTGATAACGATAGTCACTGGCTACGCTAATATTGGCCGATATTTTCAGCTCGCCGATTAATTGGTCGGGCTCTAGTATTGATCAACTACTAGATTATCTTGGATTAACATAAATATTTAAAGAGCCAAGTCAAGTTGGATGGTCATCACTTTGTTGACTCAGGGTCCTGCTTTAGAAAATGTAGCTCTGCTCTGGATTCATTAAGTACTGAGGGTTTTGGATTAAAGAATACATGCATGAAATATTAGTTGTCAGCAGCTTTCATAAATCTCAGTGTGTGGTAACTGTGAGAGTGTGTTTGTGTTGTCTCACTGGCTGTGTGAGCTGAGCAGAAGCACTTATAAACATTTGTCTGCTCTGGTTGAGCTATCCACTGGCCTCACTCTGGATGTTGTGACAAGCTCATATCGAGGAGGCTAAACACACACACACACACACACACACTCATGTTCCCTTATTCCTTTTCCCTGTCTCTTGTTTTCATCATTTTATTGTTTTAGGTGGTTTTTGTCTTATTTTAAAGCACTTTGTAACTTTGGGTTTAAAGAGGTGCTATATAAATACAGTTTGTTATTATTATGAATTACATTTTTATCCAAAGCTTCATGCAGGGTGCTGCTCGCAGGGGAACTTGACTAGGAGAACTCTGCAGGTTTGTAGTTCAAGGTGGAGGTAAACAAAGAAGGTACTTATTCGGGATGTACAATATGAATTTTATTGAGCCGATAACCAATCACTCTGTTATTAAGAGACATGCTTCTCATAACCTGAAATACACGAGCAGCACAAACAAGACCTATGGACATGCATTGGTGGAGAGATGTCAGAACGGGGCTGCTCACAGGGAGCGCTCCTGAGCAGGAGGAGGTTCGGTGCCTTGCTTAAGGGCATTGGCAGTACTTTGGAAGTGACCTGGCATCTCTCCAGCAACCAGACTCTGATCTGTGCGGGGACCTGAACTGACAACACTCATATACTGTACTTTCAGACTGAGTAGTTTGCGATGATAAAGAGTAATGTTTGTGATCAGGTGTCTTCGAGTGAAGGCTTAAAGGCCATTTAGTTTTTGTAAAATATATGTAAGCAGGTTCAAGTGCTTCCTGACTCTCTGCATGTACCTCTTTTATAAAACACCTGCATATGATTGTGCGATGAGACCGCTTTGTATCGAGAAGCAGTGTTTATGGTCAGCGAGGCTCGTGTCTGCCACCAACATGAAATCCTCTCAGGGATTCCATCACTCAAGAAAATGCTGCAATGAAAAGATCAACATGCAACCTTATCCCTGCTCACCCGCTCTGCCTGCAAATACTGCAGAATAAGCCTCACACACACACACACACACACACACACACACACACCAGTGGCGTCGGGTGTCATGCAGACAGGAAGAGAAGGACGGAGGTATCGAACACATTGGGGAAGGCGACACCCCCCGTCGATACTTGGCCTGATGAGAACAGCAGGATCAGACAGCGGCCCAGTCTCAATACTGTCAGTCAGATTCCTCCTCATGTAGAAAGTCTTCATCCTTACAGCTGCTGCAAACACAGCAGCTGTAAGGATGTTTTCACACCTAAAGCTTGTTTTGTTTTGAATCAGATGATAAAATGATACATTGTTGCAAATGCCCACTGTTTCGGAAACCAATTCCCCAAACCATCCAATTGTGAAAAAACATTACGACTGTATACTGTACATCTGCTTCTTCATTCTCGTCTTACCTGGACCCGCATATTAACACATTTCTTTTCATGATCTTGGGAAGACAAAATCTTGACTGACAATGAAATTTGATTCAATGCCCAGCCCTAATTGCAATATCAGTAGAGGCCATCTAAGTTGGTCCAGTATGATTTGTTATATCACACAAATAACTGTTCATGTGTTTGTTTATCATTCATCATCAGATTGTCTGCAGGACCTTACTGTGTACACTGTGTCCTTTCTGCTCTGCTGTCATATGAACTGATTGAACTGAGGTTGATTTCATTTACTCACTTTCCCTGGCCATCCCTCACACTGACTGAATAAACAGTCTGTTTTTATATATCTTATTATGGCTGTGTGTGTGTGTGCGTGTGTGTGCGTGCGCGCATGTCAGGGCCAATGAGATCTCTTCATGCCCACAGCTGTTTGTGAACCCTTATGATGTAGAGCGTTCAGTGTTTGTCTTTCACCTCATTAGTCAAAGAAAACACACACATTTACATCTGCTCTGCATGTTTATATGTATGCACCTCAAAGACACAAGTGTGGCTTCTGCATGTACACACATATGGACAAAAATCTGTGTCTACACTTTCAGAGTCACCACGGCCTTCCTAAATGAAGGTAGACACTGTCTTTGATTTCATTTATTTTTTATTTCTGCTACAAAGGGAGGGAGGTTATTGTGCTGCATCTTTTTACTCTCTTGAACCTGTGGTCATCAGTAAGCCTTGTTCAAACCATTACACCCGCTCCACATCTACTGTAACTGTTTTTAAACACTCAAACAAATGAGCAGGGAGTGGGAAGTAAAAATCTGTCACACACGTTTATGTTGATGAAGTACAGATTCTACAAATGATCTCTGTCTGCGTCTCTTCTTCAAATTTTGAAAACATTTAAAGTGTCAGTTGTTTTTACCGTGGCTGA